CATTTTCGTAATGAATTAATTTAATGACATTTTTACTTTATATTGGATATAACGTGGACTATGTAATGGTATAATTGTTGAATGAAACCTTTGATTTATAGCAAATTTAATATTCTTTCCAATGATTTTAACTATAACTCTCTAAAGTAATTGGTTAAGTTTTTATTACATAAATTGTGGAGCAAAGTCTAATAAAATAAGAAAAACACAAAATCCCCTATTACAGCCAAACGGTTGAAAATCGGACATGGGTTTATATGAACTTTTTTGTTCCTTTTAGTGAGTAGAACCTACTGGCGAAGTTAACACGGTCAGTAGAAACTCACCCTGTATATGGAAATCTTCTTTGACTTTAATTTTTTGTTCATATTTTAGAATTTCGAAATTTGCATTTATATTTTTGCATTCATGTCGCGTTTCGATTAGGTGCTCTACAAAACCTGATTTTAACGCTTGTATGTGTTCCTGGAACCTTTTCTTGAAGCTACGACTTGTTTGGCCAATGTAGGATGTATTACAGTCTGAACATTTTATTTGACAAATGCCTGATTTGATCATATCTTTAACTTGGTTGTTACATGAGTCATTATAAATTTAGTTTTTTATCATCTGAAGGGCATTTTTTTATTCTGTAACTTATTTTCAAATTTAAATTTTGGAAGGTTTTTCTTGTTGCTTTGTTTATGGTTGTATCATGGGGTATGGGGTATGCAAATATATTCTTTTCTATTGTTTTCTTCAATTGAACTTTGTGTTTAAAATTTCTTCTTAATTTGAAGAAGTGTTTATATAGTTCTTCTGCTTCAATTTTAGTGCTTTCAAATAGGCAAAGAATATCATCGACATATCGGTACCAATATAATAATTTTGATTTGTAAGGATTTGTTTCGTTTAAAATCTTGGTTATATATGTAAGGCACATCGTTTTTAATCTCACTTGGTTTAGATTTGCTTACAAAACGTGATCGGAAATGATTGCGGTATTTGTAAACAACATTAAATGTAAACATATCAGTGACAGCTAGAAGTGTGAATTAATACAAACAGCTGTTCGTTATTTCATAAAATATACACGAGAGCTCACCCCGTCCCCGTGGTCGAAAACTTGACCAAGAGTATGTATTGTGCAACTTCTCCATTTTCACCCCACGCTGTAAAAATAAAATTTGATTGTCTTGTTTTGTTGTTATTTCGTCACCAACATGGCATCTCATAAGTTTCATGTTAAAATTTAAAAAAAATAAATAAATTCACTTTTTGTGGTTATTTTTGAGCATATTTTAATTTATAAATGGATTCTACACAATATCTTTCATTTGGTACCAACAGCGTGTAATTCGGTCCAGTAGTATGGTCAGGCTAGCTGTCATAAGTTTTGCAAACGTTTTTAGTATTTTAAGATAGAATGTTACTACAGTACAGTTAGTTACTCTAAGTACAAAGTTTTCCTCGGCGTTATGTTTCATACTATGCGACTCATTGAGCCGCTCGGGTTCCCTAGTAACGATTAAATTGCGATATATTACAACAGTGGCGCGATCCTTCGTGGACAAATTCAACTATGTTGATCAGTGTCATGGAAAGAACATCAATCGTGGTTGAGGTATACATTAATAGGCAAGCATGTTTCTTTAAAACCCCTTTTTCTCAGCTCGTTTGTTTGCATCGTAGGGAAAATCTACTTCTATTATTAAAATATATTTTCCTGTTGGTGTGCAGAATCACTTTATAAATTAAAATAGACTGAACATCTATATGTTAATAGGCAAGCATGTTTCATGTTTCTTAAAAACCTTTTTTCCCAGCTCGTGTGCGTCGTAGGGAAAATCTACGCATACTGTTGGATAGATATTTTCCTGTATAGGTGTGCAGAATTCCTTTCTAAATTAAAATAGGCTCAAAAAGAAGCACAAAAGAATAATTTTAAATTTGGAAAAAATTTACATGGACCTTGTGGGTTACCATGACTTAATAACAACGAAATATAAAAAGAAAATCAAAACAAATGGAAGAAATTCAAATCACATGTTTTATTTACAGCGTGGGGTGAAAATATAGACGTCTGTACGTTAAATATTTTTGATCGAGTTTTCGACCACTGGACGACCTCTAGTCTATATTATTAAAAGAATTTGTTGGATCTTTGTATTCAGCAAGTCGACCCCTAAATATTTATTTGTATAGGCACATTTGGTATCAATTTAAAGCCCTTATCCTCTCTAGATGTGCCTTTTGCGGGTTTGGATGATATCCCATGAAATTCCTTCGTCATAGGACGAAAATGAAGCTTTGAAATTGTCAGAGTTTGTGCTGAATTCCGTTGTCGATCATATGAACGTTTTCAAGTTTACATTTTGTTTACCATTTAAACAGTACAAAACAGATGGCCTATATGAAACAATTTTGTTTACATCCATGCGTAAATGGGGTTATCGTTACAGTTGGTGATGTTTTAGTAAATTCAAGTAAATTGTTTTAAAAGAACTTAACTAAAAAGGTTTTTTTTTATCAAAGTTCGTTTTACCATTCTATGCATGATTTCATATTGTATTGGAAAAACTAATTACAAAGTTATGTTCAGTGTTTGCTTGACGAAATTACGAGTCAGTGATAAGTTTATGATTGAAGCGTAAAAAATAGATAGTTTTCAAATTAACTCAGAGCAATAGAAAATTTGAAATGAATTCAAATATATCGCGGATTTTGAAGTCACGAAGTGAATCTGGCTGCTAGTCTACTTTATTGATTATTTTATCAGTTGTATAAATTATCCAATAACTATCAAGTGTGGTTATAGACTAATAGTTTTGACAATCACAGGAACAGGGACCAATATTAACATATACAACTCTTACACTTATTTTCGTTATCATTCATAAGATTGTATTGATTTATTTACCTAACTTTGCAGTAATGTATCCATGAAGCTTATACGTGGAGATGTTTATCGATTTCCAAACATAACAATTAACAAAGTACTAAATTATAAACGAACAACATTATATATATTCTTCCTCAAAAGCGATGAAGTCTGCGGACATGTTTCCCTTCCTTCCCACGGCATTTTAAGATTGCAGATACCTTAATCTAATCGTCATAGACAGTTCGCACACTCCGGACTGCTCACATTTACTACTTCTTTTACCACTTCCTACGTCACGGACCTGTTTCCCTCCCTTCCCATAGCATTTTAGGATTGCAAATACCTTAATCTAATCGTCATAAAGAGATCCCACACTCCGGGCAGCATGTTTCCCTCTCTTCCCATTGCATTTTAGGATTGCAGATACCTTTATCTAGTCGTCATAAACAGTTCCCACACTCCGGACTGCTTGCCTTTACTACTTCCTTCACCACTTCCTACGTCGCGGACCTATGGTTCCTTCCCTTCCCATAGCATTTAAGTATTGTAGATACTATAATCTAACAGCTACAAACGGTTCCCACACTCTGCACTGCCGGCCTTTACTACTTCCACTTCCGTCACCATTCCCTACGTCGTGGAGCTGTTTCCTTCCCTTCTCTTAGCATTTAAGTATTGCAGACACATTTTTTCAATTGCCACAAACGGATCCCACACTCCACACTGCTAGCCTTTTACTACTTCCTTTACCACTTCCTACGTCGCGGACTTGTTTCCCTCCCTTCCCATAGTATTTTAGTATATTAGATACATAATACAACTGCCGGAGACGCTTTTCACACTCCGCAATGCTAACCTTAACTACAATCATAGACCAACCAACACAAGTAGACTTCTCATCCCATTGTAAATTTTGAAGCACGTTTTTCGTGTCTAGTTCATGTACGTGACACAAAGGCGCTAGTGTCAATGAAACTTTGTTTCCATTATTTTAGGGTTAATTTCTTGATTTGTGCTTTACTGTTTGGTTATATAACTAGGGGGCAAGTTATTGTTTATGATTAGATCGTATTATTTGGTTAAACGAGGTTTTAAATGGCTGTAATAACGGGAAACAAATTGTAAACAAAACACGACCTCTACATAAACCGTACAGAACTAACAATAAAATTGTCTTCAGCTGTTCCATAAGGATGAGAAATCTACTAAGGGAGTATGTTTTATCTATGCTACAATGTATCGAGTAATCTTCAGTATAATCAATCTTTGCTCAATAGTAACAACTGATGATTTTCCTTTTGTACTGTTTGTAATTTGCTAGTATACTGTGGGTAGATCGCTTTTTATGAACACATGTTACAACTTACTAGTCTTTTGTTTATTTTTTTCTTGTTATTCAATAATTGAATAATATGGTTCAATTATTGAACCAACATAAAAATGGTTACTTAGCAACCCATAAGACTAATGTACGAAATATGTGACTTTCAGTTTAATTTTTCTACGTAGGCCTAATTAGATTTTTGTTGGCAGTTCTAACTGCAGTAAACTCGCTTTAGGCCAGAAATAAACTACTTACAACATTTGAAGAAAATCGTCGGAACCGTTTTCGAGACCTTTGTGCAAACATACATACATACAAGCAAACATTGCTCGTATTAGAGTATAGGATTAGTAAACCTTAATTCGATTTGTATCTTGTATTTTGTATATTATCAGCACAGCAAGTTCAGTTAGTTAGGTTGGGTTTCGACAGTTTAATTTAATAATAAAATGCTCTCATTTCGTCCGTAAGCAGGATCTGTGACAAACGACAACTAAAAACGCATCGATATGATTCGATAGAGTGATAGAGTAGGAGTAGAGTAACGAACGATTAACGATAGTTGCGAAATCACACGGCGTTTTTAGACGAAAAAGTGCTCACCACTCAGAAAGAAGGTAATTTGATAAGAACCAATTTTCTTACAGTATGGTGAACAAATTCGGTTTGGGTTAATACTGTTTCCAAAAGCACACTTGAACGGGACGCACATGTTTGGAGTTATTGAACAGCTGATTTAGCACTACTCTATGCCCAGCAATTTCCCCTTATTCGTTTCGTCTGTCGTCTGTCTCCTGTCTCTGTCAGCACAGCTACAGCAGTATACCAAGTTGTCCAGTTAACAGTGCAAGTCCTAGTTCATGTCATCGAACACCAGCTAAAATTGATATTGTTTAATTGGTTGTTCTTGTATTAGTTCTATGTGTTTTAGTAAGGTGTATACAAAATTAGACACGTTCAATTGATTTTAGGTGTTCTGCCCATTGACAAAGTTTTTTCAGAACCATCATAGGTAGTTAGTGTTATATAATCTGCTCATTTAACTCAACCCGCTTATTTTCGGTAAGTTGTTAAATATGAAGTTATTTTACTGGCCGATATTACTGCTGTAAAACCCCCCCTTTTTTAATAAGGTTATAACTCCTATCTTTGTTGAATACCAATCAAGATTACAAAATTTTTAGTTTCTAGGGTGTAATTTGGTTTCTAGGCTGGGCCATCCCTAAAACTCTAGCCGGGTTTTCAGCTATTGTTAGATGTGATTATGGCAAGAGATATTGGATGCTATCATAGTTATTGTTCTCACTCAATGTCCTAATCCTATACGTTTCCCAAGCCTAGACGATTCTTCGGTGTCCTAAGCCATGACTAAGTTAAGGCCTGTTTGAAAACTGTGGTTGGTGAAAGAGATCCTCTAGACGCCGAGCGTAGGCTAAGGTTAGTTTGTTCAATTAAATTTCACCTAAACCTATTGTAACACTTAAAAAGCTTGTGAAAATCAAATTGTTTCTAATAAATGTTATTTTACCTGTAAATTAGCCTAAGTGAATACAACCACAAGTACGCCTAACTTACGTCTGTCACAGGTTGTAGCTTTGTCAGAAACCTTTATAGGCTATTACCGTACAGAGGCCCTTGATTACAGATGACATTGAAATGAGTAGTTGTTGGAACTAGGTATTAACCCTTCACAGGTAACTTCTAGGGGGTCCTCAAGAGATGAAATTGTCTCTTAGCTTTTCATTTTCATTTCAGATAGGCCAAAATCTTTAGTTTATGAATGCGTTCTTTCAATATTTTTAAAATTCTGGTCACTCAATCGTCTTAACTTAGGCTACATCTAGGCTAAGTTATATTCTTACGTTTAAGAGATTTTCAAACAAATCATTATTATGCCTACTACTTAATGTCCCAAAACAACTATGACCGCACTAGTGAGTACTACAACTATCCGCAGTACTATCCTGATAATTAGACCAATTCGTTAATTGCAAAGAAAAAATGTGGTTCGGATTCCACTATGTAAACTGTAGGCTAGGTCCCTTAGTTGCCATTGGCTGTATGCTGTATGGGCTATTAATTAATAGCTGTATGTCTAACGCCTCTTTCACATAATGTCCGGCGCGCACGGTACGCGAGTTACTGCCGGACAAACCGCACTACGCAGTGTCCATGCTGGACAACTCGGTGAAGGGCTATTGGTTCTTACTGGAGCTTTCACACGGTCCGACGCACGCCGCACGGCCCAACCCGTAAGCTGTCTCAATTTAGGCAAACTACCTGACCAAGAGGGTGCACCCTGTATATAAGAAATTACTGTATATATCGTTGTAGCAGTTTCAAAGAGTTTTTTTATCGTCAATTTAATTTCATTCCAGAACACAGAAAATTCAGTTTCAAGCAAGACAAATTTTTAACAATTTAAAAATTATAGCCTAAGAATTATTTTTTTATTTTCCTATAGGCCTACATTTTTTTTACTTCCCATATAAATTTACTTTTTCGCAACTCGAGTCTACGCACAGGGCCTGCCTATAGACTTTTTCCTTTGTTGAATAGAAGGTATTTTTTTACACTTATGTTCGCTTTATTTCTACAGTAGGCTATATAATTTTTGTTTTTTTATCAATATAGTAATGTTTGCTGTAGCCTATTATTTTTAATTAAAAAAATACAATGTAGGTAGGCCTACTTATATATAGCTAGCCTATTTAATTAATGGAAAATAAATATATTATTTCATTTCATTTCATCAGAAAAAATATAGCCTATTTAAAGTTTTCACAAAAAATATATTTTTATGTTCATCCCAAGCAAATCGGCCAATTTAAAGTATCAAAACAAACTTTTTATGCTCTTTCCAATGACACCAAAAACATGGCAATCGGTTCAGTAGTTTCCGAGGAGTAATTGTCACAATAAACCTGCTTGCGTATTAAATAGGTACTAGAGGACCCATGCTGCTCCGCGCGTTAAAATAATATAATATCCGAGAAATAATCAAATTTATGATTTTTGATTGAGTCCTACAGTGTCTTAATCGCTTAAATAAAAGCCGATATTTCACTGAAAGCTCCTAGACCAAAATATATAGGATTATATAATTAACTGGTGAAATACATCTTAAATTGATGTAAGAATTCAAAAATTAATCAAATTATGTTTTTTAGTCGAGTAATACAGTAGGTAGGTTAAGTCGATGCTTTATGTGAAATATTTGCGTGCATGACTTCAATTTAATACCTCAATCATGAACATGGGCGGGATTTGGCAGGATCCATTGGGGGGGCAAACCCACCGGGGGGTCGGGGGGGTATGGAATACCCCCCAGACGATGAATACTACCCAAAATCAGATGGGTAGTTGGTTTAGAGAGAAAAGAAATTATTAATAAAAAATACAACATCTGCCTTAAAAATAAGGTTGCCAATGACCAGGACTACAAACATACACTATTTCTATGTGAAAACGTTATAAACGGAAGAAAACTGCGAGTGTAAAAGCACGTGTTACAATGGCAGTGTCTGGCGGCAGCGCCCGATGCAACGTCACAGGGGCGCGCCGGGCGGGGCAGCATCAGGCGGCACACGTTCACTTCAAAGGACTGGGATATGTATGTGTGTTTCGTCAGGTGCTTTTTGCAACTCATGGCTCAGGAATGTGTGGGCCTTGTTGTCAAGCTAGTTAAGAAATCCTCTGACCACTAAATAGCTGTGTTTAGGCCGTGTCCCTCACTAGTATTTCCAAAGTAATTCAAGCCAGAAGCTATAATATAACAAAATAAGAAGGTAATACAGTACAGTAAGCTACTTACCATGTTATCGTACAAAATAATACCATCACCAATCTAACTAAAACTAACTAAACTAACTAAAGGTCATTCACAAACGTACGAAAATAAGTGAGTGAAAACCACACATTCTTCCCTCGCATGACGCATAGTCACATTACTCATCAAAACAGAACGCCCGCACGGCCGCACACCGCACAGGTTTGCCAACTGACCCTCCACCCACCACAAATTTCCCTCCGCTTTCGAACACCCTACCCTGACTTAAACGATTTATTGCACGTACAACATTGATTGTGAAATATTCTTTTGATGCCATGATGATGTCAACTTCTAAATATTTCCAGGAGAGCTGGACTAAAATTAATTATTGGATACACTAACTTCATTAAGCAGAGGAATAAAAATGTATACCAGTAGAATATTGGGGGGGCAATTGCCCCCCCTTGCCCCCCCCAGATCCCGCCAATGATCATGAATGTCGAGTAGAAGAGCCAAACGAACTTGGAAAACAAAAACCAAATTTAACTCCCATAAGAAATGTATGGTGCGAATTTTGTTTACGTATGCACAGAGTGGGGTTATAGATAAATATATGCCGATGCTTGATGGCAAATCTGAGCGTGCATACCTTCAATTTGAGACCTAAATCATGAATATCGGTCAGGTAGAAGAGCCAAACAAATTAGGAAAAGAGAAACCAAATTTAACTTCCAAAAGGAATACATGGGGAGCAAATTTCGTATACGTATGTGCAGAGTGGGATTATAGATAAATATATGTCGATGCTTGATGGCAAATCTGAGCGTGCACGCCTTCAATTTGAGACCTCAATCATGAAAATCGGTTTGGGTAGAAGAGCCAAACGAACTCGGAAAAGAAAAACAAAATTTAACTCCCATAAGAAATACATGGGAAGCAAATTTCGTTTACGTATAAGCTGAGTGGGATTATAAATGTATGCTGATGCTTTTTAAATATATAAGATATAATAGATTACAATTTTACTGAACACAGTAGGCCTATAGTCATCATTCAAAAGATTTTCTAATTAAAAGAAAGCCAATTGTCCTCAAATGTTGGTGAGTTGGTTAGTAAACATATTAAAACACTGTAATTTATTTATTCAATTAGGCCTAAGCCAATCATTTTGTGAAGACTGCCTCATCCAGTAGTGCACACTCTAAGCTTTAGCTTAATATTAACTGGAGGATCACTGTAGAGTGCATCATAGAAATTTTTTACGTGTACGTTTTGTTAATAAAAATCTGTATTGAAAAAATTCCTCATTTTTCTAAGTTGTGCGATGGACGACTATATTCTAGAGGCAGAAGTACAATCTAGTTCCGGGTTGTTTACAAACAGAAACATTAACTAACAGCTGTGGGCTGATGTTGAGTCTGCTGGGGCTGATGATGGCTTGAGATTGGTAACACAAGTTAGACCTTATAGGAAAGTCAGCACATTTCTTTCATTTTATCATTGAGAGATTGCAAGATTATACTTTTTTAAATCAAAATAAAGGTAAAAAAATATCACTTATAAGTGGATTTGTTTTACAAAACTAGGTTATTTGTCCTATCTGGCTGTGACCCATGAGTCTTTTTAGAATATTTCAATTTATTTATAAAAAAAAGTTCTTAAAGTAATTTTACCAAATTGCAGTGAAAGTGTTATTTCCTTTCATGGTGTATGTACATCCTCTTCTCTTCCCATTACAGACTTCCTCTGTTCTCAACCAAAGACCGATGATTGACGCCAGTTCTCAATATCATTAAGGCTCATTCTATCCTCTCCTTCTCCCCATCTATCCACCTTCTTTTAAATCGTCTTTCCCATCTTCTTCTCTTTATCACTATCAACTCCATTTTCCAAGACATTTTCTATTCTCGGATTCAGATTTTTCTCACTTTCTATACCATCTTAGTTTGGTTTAACCACATACAAAGTATATATTTAATTCTTGTTTTTTAATGGTTCTTCCGTTCTACTCTCCCTCTCTTTAGCTGTCATAAACTAAGGCACTCCTGATATCTTCATTCCTAACACTATCCGACCATGTTTTACCATTAATCCCTCTTTTCTCAATCTCAATTGAAAAACTTAGTTTCTATGCATTTTTACAATAGGCCTAATGTATTATGTGTATGTTATTTCTATTTCCTTGTTTTTCAACATGGAAAGAATTATTGTTTTACAGAACAAATAATTAATTAGTAGAGTTAAAGAGTTATTTATCTAAATAATGTTTCCTTTTGAATAAATTTAGAGTTTGTAAAACTTGTTTTGCAATTTTTGAGATTTTGGTCCCAATTTTATGTCTTACTTACCTACTTTTGCTTTAGTTTTATGTTTTTAATTTTTAAACACAAAATGACAAAGTACAACACAGAGGACTCATCAATATGGATGAACTTTCAGTTGACAATGTGCCAGATGCCGTGACATTTACACAGTCATGGATACTCTCGATAGCGTCGGGAATGATGTTGTCGATCCATCTGATCTTACACGGTGGAGTCAGACCAAACCACACCAACATACGTTCCTTTACGATCAAGGGGGTGTTGACGATAAAAGCCCCTTCCCTTTTGATCAATCTCTCAACGTTAGACTGATTCTTTGGTGAGTCGAGGGTCAAGTCTGGTGGTGGCAAACGCTTGGGTAGTTTAAGTCTTTAGGGTTGTGAAACACTGTTAAATTAGATATTTCACTGCACAGAGAATGGGATTGCAAGGATATATATTATTTCAACTGCTGACACAATATTATTTCCCTATGATTTTACAATTACCTATGTAATTTTGATTGATGATTCATACTGTAGGCCTACATTGAAGGGAATTTTATCATTTGACTGGAAAGAGTTTTTATTTATTTTCACCACTTTATTTAAAAATTTTTTTTCAGTAGGTAGGCCTATAATTTTATCATTCCATTTTTTATAGGTATTGTGAATATTATTTATCTGTAACTACTTAACTCTTTTATATATATATTTTTTAAATTGTATCACCATTTTTTTTTTTTTTTTTTTTTCTCTTATAAGTACTAGTCTGTGCAGCTTGTCTATTTAAAACTTCATTTACAGGAGTGGCGACTTAACCAAGTTACGAGTTGATGCAATTGTTCATTCGACGAACGAGTCATTCACAGATAGTACTCACCGAAGTCATCAACTCTTTGAAGCAGCAGGACCTGGATTAGTTGACGAAATAACCAATGAAATTGGAGGTAAAATACCTTGGAAATGTAAGAGATATTTACACTGTGGTGTAAAGTAATGTTTTTTTCTTGAGCATGTTTCATTTATCTAACTTGTTTTGCTAGTTTAAACTTTACTAAACAATCACCGGAGACAGTTCGGTATCAGGCTTTCCTCAAATCTACCAAATCAATTTCATCCCTAAATAATTATCGATGTATCCTATGAATACCACATTGTGTAAAATTTGTTATAGTTTTGGGGAAATCTACAATAATGACGATAAGTAAAGGAAAAATCAAGAGTACAATGTACTTAACTCCATTTTTCAATTCTTGTATAAAATCTTCGTATCATTTTTGCTTGTTCTGTTAATTTGCCCTTAATGTGTTCAGACAATTTCTCAGACATTTTGGAAATGTGTGTAAAGTTGTCGAATATACTTTACTATTAGAGTGTAGTAGTACACATTGATTTAAGGCTAAGGGAGGCTTTACTCGCAAGGATTACCAACCAAACCTGGTCACAGCTGTGGTAAATTAACCAATTAATTATTTACCTATTTTGAGACTTTATCTATTTTGGTATCTGTAACTACTATTCCAATTATATGTATTGTTTTACTTTCTTCCCCTATACATAGTATATAGACGTATGGAAAAAGAATTGTTTTCGTCAAAATTTTTGAGTTTGAGTGAATATTATCCGTTTTGAGTCCCCCCGAACCCCAAAAATTGGGTTTCGAACTGATGTCTAGGTGTGTGTATGTCTGTCGGTATGTGTGGATGTGTACAGAGTTCCAGACCACAAATGTTGTCAGATTTTGATGAAATTTGAAGGTTCAGTACTAATCCATAATCTCACCATGCAGTTTGTTTTTAATTTTTTTAAATTTTAATTTTTAAGTGTGGTTTAAAAAAAAGTAACAAAAAATGTTTTCTCAATAATGGCTTGAGCGGTTTTTATAGAAATTTAGTATGTTATAGTACTTTTAATGGTACAACTCCCACTGCTGTAATTGTTACGGTTCAAAAGTTATTGAAACTTGTGTTTTTTCCTATAACACCCCATAAAATAACAAAAAATAGGATTTTAAAACTAAGCAGGGTTTGATTAAAATTAGTGTGTTGTGGTAATTTTAATTCTAAACAAAATGGTGTAACTCCCCATTGCTGTAAAAATTAGGCCTACAGTTCAAAAGTTATTGTAGACCTAACTTCTATTTTCCCATAGGGTTGAAATAACGGAAAGTAAAATTTTTGAAAAAAAACCCAGTTTTGATTAAAATTAGTATGTTTGGTCCTTATAATTCTAAACAAAATAGTGCAACAACCCATTGCTTTAAAAATTACGGTTGAAAAGCTTTTGAAACTTGTGGGGAAAGTACCAGTTAAAAGTTATTTTATAGGGAAAGCGTTTTTCCCTATAAAATATCATAGTTACTACTGCGCTCATCCATGATAAGGGTTGTTGACAAGCTAATGGGAGAAAGTATGTGTCAGATTGGTAATGCCGTTTATTTAACTTATTTTGAGCATGCAACAAACATGGTTTTTCATCTAGGGACTAAGATTATACAATTTGTGGTGTTAACAAAGACCTTCCCAGGTACTGTATTCAAAACCATATCTCCCAAGTTTCACAGCGAATGGTTTGGTAATTCATGAAGGAACTACAAAAAATGTTTTACATCCTTTCATTTCTAATAAAACATTTGTATTGATTTTGAAACAAATTTTCGGTTGAAATGCTCATGAACAATGTTGACGTTTATACTAGCCTATACTAATTACTAATTCATCATTTCAGATTGGTCTAAGAAGCCAATAACCGTGCTTTGATATGTACATGGTTACTCTAACCTATTTAATATTCATATCAGATATCAAGCTTTCATGCAAGGTTCATTGGCCATTGGTTATCAAGCTCTGTCAGGTTTCGTGTTTCTTTGTTATTATTTCTTACAAGTCAAACTAAAATAAAAATTAAATTTTCTCTTGCAAACCCTAATAGTTGAATAAATTTTAAGTTTGTCGTAAAAATCACCTTATAAATCAAGGAAAATAATAAAAGTCATTATTTATCTGGATTTTACATTGTATCTAGAATGTATGTTTATTTGCAACATTTGAAAAAGTGTCATAACAATAGAGTTATATTTCACTATTTAAAAAACTACTCAGGAAAACTTACAATTACACAATGAAAAAATTAAATCAGACAAGATTAAGTTAGTTTGAAGTCCTCCTGGTAGGTCCAGGTCTTTAAAATGTAAATAGTTCTTTGACAGTTGGAAAGTATTTTAATTTTTGCTTGACCCTGTTATAATTTTGTTCTCTTTTATTTCATTCAGTAACTTTGCCAAACTAATTTATCCCTCATGACCAGTTTTATTTTGTGGATTCCTTCTCTTGAACTTAGCTATCGTTGCCATCTTCTTTGAAATACAGTATTTAAAGGTTTCCAAAACATACAAAAGCCATAAACAGCAAAATTTTAAAGCTATTACACAAATCTGTATTTTAAGGTTAATGGTTTTTAATGCCCATTTTATATAATTCCAAACCTTTTTTCACTCAGAGAACTGTTTGGTGGTTACATAGTTTTGAAGTGATATCCATAACATGATTAACTGTTCAGTTCCGTAGATAACCCGGAAAGTGACCCTTGGTTGTAACTATCTAGATACTGTCCTCGTTATAAGTCCTAGCCAATGTCATTGCTCATCATTACAGAATTACATCTCTCGAGAGGCAACATTTTTTGCATTTTTGTATTTGTCATTTTATATTACAGTTGTAACTTTGCCCAGGCTTTGCAACGTATACAGCAAAAGTTAGAAAAAATTAGTTCTTTGACGTTTCTATAGAAGAACTGTTACAATATTACCAAATAGTGGTACTCTCATCGAAAGTCCATGGTTGTAATAAAATTGATTTAAAAGGTAGCTATAAAGTAATTGTCTATTTGAAATAGTTTGTAACCAGCTCGATTCTATTGTAAAGCTATTCTATCAGTTCTTTCTGGAAAAATACATCCTTTTTGCACCTTCAATGATTATTTGAAAATAAATATTCAACTGTAAAATCAACACTGAGATATCTATTATTTATTTATCTTAAAAGTCAACTTTACTATTTCTTTTATTTTCTTAAAAACTGCCAAAATTTCATACAATCAAGATCTTTCTTAAGAATATTTAATGGGAAAAAATAACCTAAATTATTGTGAAATATCATGAAAGATTGAATTTATTAATTAATTGAAGATATTTTTATAAATTTCTCATTGCAAAGCAATTGTTTATTTAAATTATTAACTACTAAGACAGTAACTTTTACACTAACAAAACTAAGGGAGATAATAGAATTGTAGACTTGAGCTCTATGAGTAGCTTGCATTAAACTATGTTCTTTTTAGTAAAAAGTCCCGGAACTCTTTACCAATATTTTAGGGCATTGCTCCTGGGTAAGAAACATGCCTAAATATCATATTTAAATTTTCCGGAAGTCCTTAGTTACTCACACAGCCGCCATTTTGTTTTTTTTTTAGTTATTAATTTTTTTCTAAAGAATGGTTAAACATACGAAATGGAAACTTTGCACAAAGATTTATGACAACTAGACAAAGCTACCAAAAAATTATGAAAATTTTTAAAATTCATAAAACAAAATGGCGGCCATTTACAATTTTTGTAAAATCAACAGTTTTTGAGTTAATTAAGAAACAAAATTTTAAATTGCCGCCATTTTGTTTTATGAATTTGAAAAATCGTCATAATTTTTTTGTAGCTTTGTCTAGTTGTCATAAATGTTTGTGCAAAGTTTCCATTTCGTATGCTTTACCATTCTTTAGAAAAAAATTTATAACTGAAAAAACAAAATGGTGGCTGTGTGAGTAACTAAGGACTTCCGGACAATTTAAATATATGATATTTAGGCAGGTTTCTTACCCAGGAGCAATGCCCTAAAATATTGGTAGAGAGTTCCGGGACACCTTGTATATAGATTAGTGTCTATTTTAGTATTTGTTGGGAGCAAGCAGGTCTTGTGGTAGAGCGTAGGATTTCAGTCCCTGAGGTCCTGGGTTCAAATCCCGCCAAATCACCAATAGATTTGATTTAAGTGATAATGCTGTAAGCATGAAGTAATGGGAAAAGCAGTTCCGGGCTCTTGCCTAGCGTCCTAGGACAAAAAAATTACTTCAGTATATTTTGTTAGTCAATGTGACTTACTGTTTGTGAGATCTCTGTTATGTTGGCAGACTGTCGTACAGGTGAAGTGAAAGTGACTCAGGGACACCAACTGCCAGCCCGGTACGTGATACACACTGTCGGCCCTCTGTACAACATAAGATATCAGACTGCGGCAGAGAGCACCCTACATACGTGTTACAGGTAGGAAAAAAGGAAAAGATATTCAAAGGCCAGTGTTTATTTAAATATTTTATATTGGTAATTTTATGGAGTTTGGAGGGCAATTGTTGAGGGTGAGGTAGAAAGAGATTTCTGTGCCTAACCTTACCTAATAAGTGAATCAACTTAAAATGTTGTTGCGTACTACCATTGGTTTCTGGATACTGAAGTAGATATCCCACATCGACCAACTATGTCTCTTTCTTTTTTTTTAAGAGTTGAATGAGTCACAGAATGTGCTATAGTCTAAAACATAGTTTTTGTTAAAGCTATTTTTTAAATATTCTTTATATAGTTTACAATAAGTTGTCCTTTCATTTTGGCTTGGTTAAAAACGTTTATGTATTTGACAAAAACTTTGCCATTTAAAAAATGTTTTTTAAAACTTCTTTGGCCTACGAGATCGGGTACAGAGATAGTATGACAACTGGCAAGATACTTTGTGTGATGGGTGATCGTAGTAGCAATAGGGGAGGTATTGTGCCGGAAAAACCAGTGGGGTTAGTTTATTTTATCAGGCCTTGTTATGTTACATTGTATGACCTTGACAGTACATGGATTTAGCTGGTATTAAATACAAATATGTAACCAGGAGAATAATATAGAAAAAATATCATTTAATTTGAGCTAACGCTAACACACTACACTGTCCTGTAATTCTAATTTTCTCTTCTTAAACTTCTTGATTTTTCTGAGAATTTGTATATTGTTTTTTTATATATATATATATTTAATATTTAAGGTACTTACCTACTGCATTTTACAATAGCCTATGTATTTGTTAATTTAAAGAAGATTGACCTACAAAAATGTGTTCATTTAAATTTTATAATTCGTAGTGTTGAAACTTCAAGATTGAATTTTGAAATGTCAAAAATAAAGAAAAGATATATGTAAATAAGAGAGATGGCGGTAAATCTGTGTGTGAAAATGTTATTCGAAAATTTGGTAATCTTTCTTTTATTATCCTACACAAGATTTAAAATTAATCAAAATTAAAGTCATAGTGGATAAGATATGTTTATAGACTATTTGAAAAAAATATTACTCTTATCTTTCTTCTACCTTATGAAAACTTAAGTAAGTTGATAGTTATTATCACAAACAAATGAAAACTTCAATAAAAGTTAGATTATGTGCCAGTTAATCTGTAGTAATCTTGAGTAGGTGCTATTAAAAGTGTCTGACACATATTTGACTGACTCGTAGGAAATCGCAACATAAAAAGTACATGCAAGGATGAAGTAAAGAAAACCTAGATCATTAAAAAGTTATTTCCCTAATGGGCGTGCCACATTTAGGATTCTAGCTACTGAAGGTACTTCAAGGGCCTACTCATCCCCCCCCCCCTAAGGAGGCCCCTACTCTCTTAGCTTGGGAAACTTTAACCCCTTCCTCCCTGCAAAACTTCCTTATACTAGTTCTTGTCGATTATTTCTCTTTAGTACTTTGCAATTATGTGAATATTAGGGTAAAAGATATTGCAAGATAATGTTAAAAAAAAACACATTGTATAGATGTTTCCTATACAAGTGTTCTAAATACCGGTACCTGTAGGCCTACTTCAAGACTAAACAAACACACCATAAATTCAGGTACAAGTTAAGTGTGTTTTGTTTTTTTTACTACAAGTTTAAAGGGGTGATTTTGAATCGCATAGTAAACTTATCAATGGTATTTTTTACATGGGACATTGAGCTCTTCTATTTTAACTACAGCTAGCTAACACAGACGAAACTATCTTTTGAGTAGTTTATTAGCTCGTTGGTGGGTAGTTGTTTACAATGAAACTTAGACAATGTTATGCAGCCGTTGACGTCTTGTTGAACCTCAGCTGTTGTTTAATCGGAAGGGGCAGGTAGAAGGAATGGAATTGTTTCCCTCCCTTACTCTCATGGCCATTTGAATCCAAGAATTTGGCCTCCTAAACTAACCGTCTCCACTTCTTCCAATCTTGAACATCATCCTTGTTGAATGTAAAAATGTTATTGTTCATCTACACCAGTTGCATTTATGACGCTTAAGGGCCAAACCCTGGTCTTGTTACTATCTGACGTCGACCTTTTGATAATATTTTGTGTTTTACTAGGAATGTGCTGTTGAAAGCTGTTGAACTGAAGCTGAAGACACTGGGGCTTTGTGTTGTTAACTCTGTCCACCGTAACTATCCACCGGATGAGGGTGCTCATATAGCACTGAGTAAGTAGAAACTAAAGATACTGCAAGTAGATGTTCACAATGTTGTTTTTCATCTATAGTTCTGAGCAAACCCCAACTGTGTTTTTACAGTTGGCTATAATACCAGTAGATATCCTAGGACGCTAGGTTCTAGCCCAGAATTGTTTTACACATTGCCTAAGGCTGGACCTAGATGGTGGCAGTATTATCAATTAAGATCCATGTTTCTAGCCCCTGAAATGTTGAATGTAAGACTAAATTTACATATTTTTTTACTGTGAGGGGAATTACGTTACAAGAAGTTTAACCTTAAATTAGAATTGCCAAACAGATAAAATCTAAATTTCAGCACCAGTACCAAGGTGTAACTTGGTCATATAAAATTGGTTTGCAATGTTGTACATTAAATGCCGAGGTCGGAAATTGAGGGCTTGACCGGGTTAAAAAGACAATTTTTGCCCGTGTGGTGAACTATACTTTTCGTCATATTGCATCATTAATTAACAAACTAAGCTAGAAAACGAAATAGTTTTTATGTAAAGATAACCTCTAAAACGACTTCCAGCTTTTTTTAAATTCTGCTAATGCAAATAAGCAGCTGTTTAGTAAGTGATTCAATCGATTCGTCTATTACAATTGTGTTACAGTTTATTATACCATCGATATGTCGAACGGTCGACAACAATAGGCTAACACCTTGACTAATAAATCAATTGATAAATAATTTCGATTGATACAATTGCCACAATCGAAATTTACAACTTTTTACAACAGCAGATTTTTACTCCCTAGGGACTAAAAATGATTTTTACTCTATAGAGAGTAAAAATGTTACTTTAAACATGCAATGCATGCATTTTCCTATTCTGTCTGAATTAATTTGATATTCATGAGTTTTTTAGAAAATTCCACATTTAAAATGCTCTCCCATTTAGGTTTTGGGCCCAGAGGGCTCTAGACTCATGAATGTAATATATTGCCAAGTAAAATAGGTATTATAGTGTAGGTTGAAGAATAAAATTTTGCTCTTGTAAAATCTCATAACATTTTCACAAAATGTCTAGTACTCTAAATTACCGAATTGAACCCCTAAACTATGAAACTTGAAGAATTCAGGCACAAGCAATATTAATAAATTCAGATCTATGAAAATACGTCTGTGGTCAGGGGTGCCCAGAGGGGGGGGTACTGTGGCGCGTTTGCGCCACAGGAATTTTGGGGGGAGGACTTTTTAGGGGGATTTTGGGGGGGATATTTTTTTGCTAGCTGACATAATGAATGTAATCTTGTATAAGCAGTTTAAAGTCTTTCTAAGTAGCTCACTATCAACACCAACAACATTTTGCCATTGGTAATTAAAATTACTTCTAAGAATGGTAAAAACCACCTTTTCAGACAATCCTTAATATGTACTAGTGTCGAATTTTACTTGCTACACATGTTTTGGTGGTTCTTTAACTCCACCATCGTCAGTCTTACAAAAAGATCCACTTCTGGAGGTGTCGTCAGAATACGTTACAAACATTTAACACAAAATACGAAACAATTACAGATAGGCCTATCAATTCACGCGTAGGTACATTGCCACGGGCAGGACTGGAAGTAAACTGAATCAGGTTCAGGTTATGATGGACCGACCTGGTCTCTGGATTGTCGTCTGCGTTTTCAACGGCTGATATTGGACTATTGTAGTGACGGAGAAGAGTGTTGAAAATATAATGGGATTCATAACTTGTTGAGTGTTTTCACTCAAAAATTGTGTGCTGTCCCTAGTTTTATGTATTTATATATTTCAAACTCTTATTTAATAAAAGTATTTAATAAATTTCCTTTTGCGCAGTACTGTAGAATTTCGAGACCATCATTTATATCCAGCGTATAAATTGGTTATTATTGGCAATAATTTTGAATGGAAAACTCAATTATGAAACCTATTCACTGAGCTATATTTATCTCCATGATCCCATTATATTTTCAACACTCTCCTCTGTCACTACAATTAGTCCAATATCAGCTGTTGAAAACGCAGATGACAATCCAGAGACCACGTCGGTCCGTCATAACCTGAACCTGATCTTACTTCCAGTCCTGCCCACGGCAATGTACTCGCGTGAATTGATAGGCCTATCAGTTATAGTTTTGTGTTTTGTGTTAAATGTTTTTAGCCCTCCCACCATAGTTTGTAACATATTCTGACGATACCTCCAGAAGTGGATCCTTTTGTAAGCCTGACGATGGTAGAGTTAAATAACCGCAAAAACATATGTAGCAAGTAAAATTTGACACTACCGTACATATATTATTAAGGATTGTCTGACAAGATGCGTTTCTACCATTATTAGTCATAAAAGGCAATCCTGGGGCTATCAAAATGAATTAAGATTACTTTGTCACAAAAACCTTTTGTGCTGGTGGCAATTAAGGTGTTGTGAGTTAAGGAAAGGCCAATTGGCTGATTATGTACAAGGATAGGGATCAGCTAGCTTACCTGGTAGATAGAGTCCAGATTAGCCTTGATTACACATAAAAAGTTTTCCAGTTTTTTTCAGTTTTTTCAGTTTTTTCAAGTTTTTCCAGTTTTCTTTCTTCTCCCTTCTGATGAAGTCCCTAACTGGGACGAAATATTAAGTTTTTCTGTGTTGTGTCATGTGTTTTTATGTGTAATCAAGGCTAATCTGGACTCTATCTACCAGGTAAGCTAGCTGATCCCTATCCTTGTACATAATAATCCTAATTAAGGTGTTTTGTGTATTTTGCCCGGCGATTTTTGTAGAAGGCAGCCTAGGAGTGGCGAGCAACAAGTCTGCCCTATTTTGTGACTCTCTGCCTATAATTTCGAAACAAGATACTTTTTGCCAGAGTATTATTAATGCTCTTAAAGCTGTTTGAATTCTTAAGCCCTGTAAGATTTAACGCCACCTAATTATATTGTACAGTTACAGTATTGTGTTGGAGTAGAGCAATTCACCGAATATATTGTTGAACGTTTTGAAGACGTCTATTGCAATACTGAGCACATTTTGGCTGACAATACAGTTTCTGAATTGTAAATTGAAAAACTTCTAATTCGTCCATTAGTTAGATATAATGATGTATTGTTAAATGCCGTTTCTTGACCTCAAGTTTACTAAATACTTGAATTGCTCGTTTTATGAGGTAAAGGGGAAATTGCTAGATAAATTGCCGGGGGGGGGGGGGGGTAGGTTTAAGTAGACGGCAGCATAAATTAGGGGGGACTGCTCCTTTGGCTTGGGGGGAGATTGGGCCTCTGGGTTTGGGGGGATGGGCACCTCTGTCCGTGGTGAAGAACCATGTCCTGATGATACAGTACCTGAAAAGAATAGATGGTTAAATCTTGATTGCCCCGATCGCAGATGACAATGATAACGTTTACATGACTGGAAGATAATGATAATGACCACGCAATTGCAGGAGATATTATTTAGGATTGTCGATAATGACGTTTCCATGGCTACGGAAGACCATAATGATGACCACACAAGAGATATTCAAGATTTTGCCGTGACTGTGAGTGACCATGACAATGTTTTTGTGACTGCCCGAGACAATAATGATGATGAAAGCACGACCATGGGAGATAGTGAAGATTGTACCGTGACCGTGGCTGACGATAGTAATGTTTCTGCTATCAAGGGTGGTGATGATGATGACATTTCTGTTACCGTGGAAGGTACTCGGGATTTAACCATCATCGCGGAAGACGATGATGTTTTCTTGACCTTAGAAAATGATCAAGGTATCATGTATTATATATTCATCACAACATTAAAATGAAGTGAAATTATTATAAACTTAGTTTTTTTTTTTTTTTTTTTTTTTCTTTATATTTTTATATTTAAGATGTTTCTTTTATATTTTTTTCGTGTCAGTCTTTTTATTTTCAAAAAAGTAATGTTTTATTCAACATAATATCTTCAAATTAAAAAGAAGGTTTTTGACTTGGCCTGATTAATTTGTTATTCTTAAATACATACAACTTTAACAAAGTAAACTTAGTAAGTAAATATGTAGTAAGTAAGTAAAGTAACTTAAACTAAGTATATATGTGATGATGCTTTTCAGGGACTATCAGAAGGTTTTTAGAGAAGCAACAAAAAACGGGGGTCAAAGGCCTAGACACCATTGTCCTGGCAGTGGACAGCTGTGACGGTAAGTTTGTCACTACGCAATTGACGTTGTTTTGTGTTCTTTACGAGCAGTCCAAACCTTTATTTAGCTTCTGTAAATCAGAATGATTATGATTCTGGTATTTTGTTTGATAGTATCATTAATTGATATCCTAACAAAAAATGGTATCTAGGTCTAGAATTGACCTTGATCACGATCGACCTAGCTCAATCTCAAGCGAGATCGATTCTGGACCAAGATGCCATTTGTAACTGAGCTGTCAATTAAGGATGCTACCCAACAACAGGTTAATGATAGATAGTAACAAGACCAGAGTATGGACTGTTCCCTTAAAAATGCCAATTGTGTCTAGATAACACAAAATAACAAAATTAAATGTATCACGGTTTTAAGATTATAATATAAGCTGTTTGTTTGTTTTGAGAAACTTTGAAATGCACCTCAATCACAATGTTACAGTTGCATTTGCTTAATGCTTTGTGACTGCTGCGCTACAGTACATGGTTTGTCCAAATCCAATTACACTGAGAGCCAGATACAGTTTTGAATAAACTCTTTAGCTGAAATTGGCTAAGTTTATTGTGATGATGTAAAATGTTGCTCAAAAATAAATTATGTTCATGCACCTTATGTTGTTTGATTTAAGTGAATTTCCAGGGAAGTAGCTATTACCGTAGGTGGTTTGGTAAGACCTAGGCCCGGGACCGATTTACTTTTTCATTTAGATGTCCACAGAGGCCAAAAAGACCTTTTTTAAAGAGCTTAAAAAACAAATAATTTATTACATCAAAGAGTTTTTGTACAATTATTGGTTACAGAGAAAATAAGCATTGTTATTTTAAAATTCCCATGTTATTCTTATGGAGAATATTGTAAAATGTTGTAGTTGGCTTGTTTATGGATATATTTTTATCAAACTTGGTAAATTTATTTATTTTATACTAAGTTATTAATGTTTAATAAATCTCTAAATGCATTTGAAAATAAAGAAACTGTTTCATTTTATTTGATCTTACAAAAGCTTTTGACTCTGTACCTTTTGATATTTTATTCAAAAAAACTTGAATTTTATGGTATTACAGGTGAAAATTTAAAAATGTTAAAATCCTATTTAAACAATAGAAAACAGTATGTATCTCTTGGAGGCAGTCAGTCTGACTTAAGATTGGTTGAAGTAGTTGTTCCACAAGCTCAGTTTTGGGAACCTTCTTGTTTTTAATCTCGATAAACGACCTGCCGAGGAATATTGACATAGACACTGTTGTATATGCCGATGACACAACTTTGATTGCAACACATAGAGATATCCATGACCTTGATTTAATTACTAATGAATCAATAACATCAGCACTAAATTGGTTTTCTTCAAATAAATTTATGTGTAATCAAGAAAAAACACAGAAAATTCTTTCGAGTATATCCCCACTTGACAATGAATTAAAATCAGTAAAATTATAAGGATACCAAATTGACACACACACATAGAAATCACATCTAAAAAGATTTCCAGAGTAAATTGTCTAATTTGGAAACTCAGAAATTTTTTTTGTAATGAATACCTTCGGATTACTTATTTAGGTTTTTTTCAATCGCATATTTCTTACAAGATTGATCATACTATAGGGACACTCTCCCCACATCCATGACATTCTTTTATTGCAAAAAAAGTTAATACAAAAAAAGTTAAACAAAAGTTAAAAAGTTAAACAATCTGTGGGGCTGGCCCTGTGGATAGCTTTCAACGACTTTTTTATAAACCTTAATATTATGGCCGTGGTAAATTTGTATATTTTTCACATACTCCTCTACACTAAAGCTAATCTTCGTCAATTCACTTGTAGTGAGTGTATAAAATCTTACAGTACAAGAGGCAAATCCAATCTAGTACAGTAGACTTCCTCTTATCCGGACTCCTCGGGTCCGAGGCCAGCCCGGATAACGGTTTTTCCGGTTAAGCCGACGTCCCCAAAAACTCATTAAAATGGACCGTTTACGGTGATATTCGACTTAAATTTAGGAGAGCATTGTATTTAGACATGTGATCACTGGTCTCAAATCTTTCCCACAAGAACAGTCGTTACAGTACGCCCACTTCCTGCCGATCTAGTCCGGTTAAACCAATGTACCGATAATAATTGTCCGGTTAAAGAGATGTCATTTCCGTCGACTGTTCCGTTTAACCGATGTCCAGTTAAAAGGTGTCCGGGTGAGAGGGAGTCTACTGTAATCCCTGCACATAGATTGGTCAAAAGAGATAACTGCCATAAAATAAATAGCATACGAATTTTAATAAATTAGTTCTGGCAAGAACATTTATTCTTTTTAATGGGTTTAAGACTAAAATGTTTGAGTGGCTCATCAATATCCAGACTATTGTATAACAGAGTAGCCTATTTAGTTTCCAATGTTAATATTGATTTTTAATTTATAACCCACTATTTTTTATAGTTTTAGTTCTTATTTATATTTAATATGTCTATTCCTTGTAAAAGGTCAACAACAATAAAGCTCTTGATTCTTGATTCTGTGATGCGACCTCTGGAAAGTTAACCTCACCCCCAGCTTCGACAGGTGAATAACTTGTGATGCAGTCTGACAAAACTCCTTACCTACCCAAGGCGGAAGCAACACCCACTGCAACTTTACCATCATATACACACCTGTACAAGTTCTCCACAGTGATGTGTTTGTTACAGGTGGCATTTACGAGGTCCTGATGCCGCTGTATTTCCCCCGGTCGCCGGGGGAGGAGCGTGCCGCAGTACTACAGCTGCCAGGGGTGGGGGGACCCGACGGGGAACCACTTTTCCCCGACAGACAGATACGCATCATAGACAACCCTACCCACCATCACCATCATGGTGAGTTTTCTAATATGATGTCCTGACTGTAGAAGTCCTCAGCTGTACTACAAGGATAGCTTGAAATATCTTGGGTTTTATTTTGTTTAAGTTTAGCATTTGGTTGTCCATTAGGCCTCTGGAAAAATATCAAGCAAAACAAGGTTTACTTGGTTATTTATCCACATGGTTTATTACATTTTTAATCTATATATAAAGCCAAAAGTACCCATGAACTTTTGAGAAAACTACAAGTCACACCCCCATAAACCATATACTTAAAATGTTCGTCATGACGAGAAACCTTGCGCAAAATTATCCATTATTTCATAAGTTGCCCTATAAGGTCGTAATTTCTTTCCAAAGGGAACTTTCCATTTACCTAATGTTAAAAATACCTCAGCTGTTATTTGTTTGTATTCTGCTTTCTTTATTTCATCTTAACTTAACCAATCAATAGTTTTATTAATACTAATGTAGTAAAATGGGGTGGAGCACGTGGGTAACAGCTAGTTTCTATAAATTGGGAAGCAATGATGTTTCTATCCAAGTATTGAATTCCGGGAGACTTGTCATTGAAGATATCCTGTTATTTGGGTGATTTTCATTTCCATCCACGTCCAGTTTTTTGCAACCAAACTATCATGATATAGTTTTAAAACCCCCAACCCTCTTGCAAAAAAGGCTAGAGGTGTTCTAAAACTTTTCACAAAATCCTAAGTTGTCAGAGCATTACAAAATTAGCGTTTGGACAATTGGCACTGAAATAGAAAGCACTGAATGACATTGTAAAATAAAAAGCATGTGAAAGATGTACATTAGAGCTTTCTGTGAGCAAATAAAAAATCAGCGGATCATTATTCTTTTGTTCTAAATTTGAGGTTGGAAAACGATGTTATCATCAAAATCATCAAAATGCAATTGTATAAAAATTATTTATGCCAAAAAAATTATAAAAATATTTCTAACAATTAAGTTTCATTTACAACATTTGCTGTGTTTTTAACTACATAAAAGAACAGTTTAGAGTTGAATGTAGTCTTCTTAAACCGATTTCCATAGTTTGAAATAAAATCACTTAAAGATGAAGCCAACACAGTTTGCATGCAATAAATCAGTTGAGTAGTTGACTGCACAGATTGCACATGTGGTGAAGACTCGTGCCTTCAAGAGCTCACAAGGCTTCTGGCTCAGGATTAGTCACTCGTTGTGTTGTGTTGCCAATCAAATACACTCACACTATGACTACCTTGCTTGGTTTTTTTAGTCCTAAGACGTTAGGCACGGCTAGACCAAGGGGTTGCGGCAATATCACTTAGATAAAATCCATTAGTGATGTGGTGGGATTTGAACCCGACATCTCAGCGATTGAAATCCCACACTCTTAACTACTAGACCAGCTCGCTCCCCCTTGCTTGGTTACATGAATAAAAAACACATCTTACAACACTTTTGATATCCTCAGAACTCAAAGTAAGCGGCTTACCTATCTACCGAATACTTGAATGAAAGGTCCTGATGAAAAATTTCCCAAAAGATATTAGTTTTTCAATAATCCCTCTCTCCTAAGGGTTCAATTCAATTCAAATATCTTTATTCATTTTTATGTACATTGTACAATAAATAGTGTCAAAATAATTACAATAAAAATAGTGTCAAAATAGTTCAAAAGGATAAAAAACAGCAAATCATGAGGAATGGTTATAAAAACAACAAATACATTTTACAAATCTAGTAAGATAATTTATCATAGCGACTGAGGGAGGTGAAAAAACTCGTCAAATGAATAAATTGCCAAATTTATTAAAAACTCTTTCAATATTTTTTTTAAATTTGTTTGGATCTGTTTCTTTTTTAATATTTTTTGGAATAAATTAAAAAAATCTATTACCTGCATAGGATGGTCTCTTTTCAAAAAATTTAGTCCTATGTGGTTGTACATTTTCATTCTTATTTCTTAAATTATAAGAATGGGATTTTTCTTTTGGTTCCGAATATACTTCTTGTTTTTTTGCAATTATTATTGATTCATATATATACTGCCCTTAAACAGTAAAGATTTTTAGGTCCTTAAAATGCTCTTTAGCTGACTCATCACGCTGCAGCTTAAGCATGATTCTAACCGCTCTTTTTTGCTCCTTTAAAATGCTATCTAGATTACATATTTTTGTTGAGCCGTAGAGTGCTATGCCAAACGTGATATGTGAATGCACATGTGCAAAATATATATTTTTTAAAGTTTTTAAATCACAGTAAAAAGACATACTTGATAAAGCATGAATTCCGGAATTAATTTTACTTAAAATTTTGTGGACATGTTTATCCCAATTCAAGTGCTGATCTAGTGTTATACCCAAAAAATTTATACTAATTTCTTCATCAATATTTTGTAAGTTATAGCTGATTGTTATTGGCTCCTTCTGTCTATTTTGTTTTGTCTTAAAATTTATAAATTTCGTTTTTTGTAAATTCATCATCAAGTTGTGGTTATTAAGAAAATTTCCAATACTTTCCAATTCTACATAAGCGAACATTTCTGTTTGCTCTATTGAGTTGGATGATATCACCAAATTTGAGTCATCAGCATACAGACATAGTGTTGAATTTTTATTATATATTAAAGAATCTTTCATTCCACATAGATAGCACAAAAACAGCAGGGGTCCTAATATTGAGCCTTGTGGCACTCCGAAAACTATTGGCTTATAAGTTGAGCATGATTTAATAATTCTATTGTAATTTGTCAAGTGAGTTATTTCTACGTATTGAGATCTTTCAGTGAGATATGACGTAAACCAATTAAGAGTTCGTTTTGCTACTCCTAGTCTTTGAAGTTTTTCAAGTAGAGTAGAATGCCTAACACTGTCGAATGCTATAGATAGGTCCATAAAAATACCAGTTGTACATTTTCCCTTGTCAAACGACTCAATTACAGTTTCAATAAAAGATACAGCAGCACTCACAACCGATCTTCCATTCCGAAATCCATGCTGGTTATCATCTAAAAGATTAAATTGTTCTAAAAATTTGGAAAATTGAATGTATACTGCTTTTTCATATATCTTAGAGATAGCAGGGAGCACGGATATTGGTCGATAGTTAGATACATTTGTCAAGTTATTTTTCTTATGTAAAGGTATTATTTTAGCTTGTTTTAATTTCCTTGGAAAAATTCCAGACACAAAAGAGGAATTTATTAAGTGGCATAGAATTTTACTAATGTTCCCTTTTACAGCCTTAATTACTGTTATAACTTTAAAGGGTTCTAACTTTAAAGGGTTGTTTTGGCAGAGCAAGGAGTATATTTAAATGACGTTACAATGCCAATGGACTTTGGCCAGTCCTACTTATGGACAATCGGTCACACAATCAGACCCAATTGATGTATAAGAGTAGTCTCCCCCGACCTTTGGATGAAAAAATAAAAAAATTGTTAGTTGAAAAACCAACAGTAACCACAAATGTGTATATTTTAAAACTGTTGTTTTATTTCATTTTTATTTAGAGTAAAATTTAATCTTTGTCAAGGGTTTTGCATCTAAAACATATGTTAAAAGTTGAATATTTAGACAGAGTAATATTATTATTTTCTATATATTTAATACGCTAGGCATATTTTTGTCATAATTGTTTTGGACAATTGGTGCTACCGATCACCATGTCCAGGGTGTCGTTAGAAAGGTCTTAGCATGTAGTTTTGCCATCAAACAAAACAACTTCTGAATTCCATCAGGACTCTGCCTCAGTGGCCTTCAAAGTTCCCATGTTATTCTTAGGGAGAAAATGTTTGTTTATATTTAAACAGATGAATACAGTAGAGTCCCGCAAACTCGGCGTAATGTGGACTGGAAGGGTGCCGAGTTTGTGAAATGCCGGGTTATCGGGAACTAGAGTTAAAAATAAGAGCAATACAGTTTTTAAGCTTTTTAACCGCCTTTTTCAATTAGATTTATATTACAAGTCAGTATTAAGTCATCAGATATAGTACAACAAATCCTTAGTACGAGTTGCAAATGAGCTGGCTTGTGTCCATGTTTAACTCGGACTCAAAAAATCACTAATTTTCTGAGCTAGGTGATGGCCGAGTTATCCAGACTGCCGGGTTATCTAGTGCCTAGTTCGCGGGACTCTACTGTACTTTGAAATTAACACTAATATTTTAAACAGCTGGTTATACTAAAATTAGAGACATGTGCTATAAGGATTTATTAGATTAGTTGAAAAGATTTATGTTTCACTGTTTTAAACCAGTTTTATTTGCACAAAATTACAACATAACCAAAAAATCGTTTGACATAATGGAGACTATAAGACGTCGACCAGGACGGCCAATAGGAGGAGGCCGACAAACTTTAACTAGACGCGAACTAAATACAAATAATACTATTGTCGCTGATAGCTGAATACAGCAAGCACCCTTCTGTGTTGGGTTTTAGTGTGCTCAAAACCAAAACTGGCAAACTTGTTATTTCGTTTTGCACAATACACTTTTCTTAAAAATAAAATTATGGTTCCTTAGTTCATTTAATGAACAGTAAGGGATCGCATTTCATTGCAAGAATCGTAAATGAGGATAATATAGCATCACAAATAATATAAATTATCAACCCAAACATGCAATCACATTTGTCCACATTTATTTATATATAAATACTCAACGGTCAAGGGGTGCGGCTCTGCAGGGTCGCCCGCCGAGCGCTCCCACTATTGTCTATTTAGGCTACACTACTGCCCACATTTACATCAGAATCCTGGACTTATATATGTATGTGTTCGTAAGAAAACGCTCTACAACCCATTGATAAAATATTTTTTTTGAATTTCTCACGAATAAAAAAATACAGAAAAAAATCCAGAATAACAGTGTCAATATTTTCACAATTTCATCAATTATACTAAAATTACGGGAAAACTATTAGATTTACGGTAAACATGTATATGATATTTTTTGTAGGAAATTTAGTTCTAAAGACAAGCTTATTATTTTACCGAATTAGACAACTAGTACTTAATCTAGACGC